GGAATGTAATTTTACATTTATATAATGTTTTTTATCAACTTTGTTCATTATGATTCAAAAATAGAATAAAGGAAAGCTATTTGAAAATATTTGTTACTACTGAACAATGTAATTAAACACACAAGTGAATTTTTTTTAGTTTTGTAATGACAAATAACTTTTTAAATTTAATCAAAGTAAAAAGTGGCAGTGATTTTTCTACAAAAGCATGAAAAAAACTTTAAACATTTTATTAATAAACTTTAAAATGCCAAAAGTTAATTAGTTAAAAATAAAGTAGTCAGATAGTTTTGCCTTTGCTTCCACCGGCTTAGTCTTGTTTTAAATTTTATGTTACTTAATCCGCTTTCAAACGATTTTTTTTTCACTGTATGTTAAGTTTTTCGCATTCTCACACGATCGGTTTCAACCATTTGTAAATAAATGTTYCTTATTTTTAAAGCCGAGTTTCGATTATTAAACAATGGTGTTGTTTATTTTTAAATTATAATTTTATACACAACTCAACAAGTCTGATATAGTAAAACTTTGGAAATATACACTGATTCAAAGAAATTTAAGTCAATAATTTGCAGAAAATAAATTAACAAATATTTATTCTTATTAAAAGTTATCTTTTACGTTTTTTCAATATCTGCCTCAATGACAATCACAATTCGTGATTAAACGAAGGCAGACAATGAAAAGACAACAGAAGATAATTTTTATTAAGAGTTAAACTTTACGTTTAATAAACTGTTTTAATTAATTTTTTACTTTACCATCTCGCTTTTATTAAACAATTTTGATACTCATTAGTCATATCAATGATGAACTCTTCTACACTGACGAAATGTTTATTTTTAATGACCCGTAATTAGTGCAACTGGTTTACCAAATATGACTAGAATTTTTAGAATGATTTGGAAATTAAAAAATAAAAACCATAAAATCTGATAAACTTTAAAACTCTGAAGATCGGAAACGAAGCTTTCTTGACCCTTATTTATATTAACTTTTTGTCATAAAATCAGCTCAAGAATACGACTTTGAAATTTTTGTACTCAATTGGGAAACATCCTGTATACTGTGTTCCATTAAAAAAAACTATGGCAAATTTTAAGTTTTTTTCACTTTTCAAAAGGTTTTGGAAGAAATGCCCTGGAAAATAAAATGCACTTATGAAGAAGCTTATGCAAAAATTAAAAAGCTCATTATCATTTAAAGAAACTGTAACCTAATAAAATCCAATCTGCGATTAAGATTGTGATTATGATCAGAAAAAAAATTAAAGAAATTGTTCGATATGTTTTGCGACAGCATTAATAAAATTTGTCTTTTCCATTTATGTCCCCAAATCTATTTATATTTGGAGACAGTTGTCCAGTGGATTAAGATCCGGTGATCCGGGTGATCAAGCCGCTGGTCCAATTCTGTTGGCGTAGGATAACTGTCGCCATATTCATAATAATTGGTTTGGGTAGAAGAAAAAGGAGATGGTTGTGTTCTACATTTCGAGCAATAGTTTTGGTTGATGAGGAATATCACAGATTGATTGTGTGACTTTATACTGTTTTAATTGTGTGCTAGTAAATTGAAGGCAGGAAAACCTACTTGTTTAAAACTGAGTAAACAATCCAACAAGGTGATTTTTCAAACTTAAACTTGAATGAAGCCATTTTCGAATATAGCTTATAATGCAAACTTATAGTGTTTTCAGATTCTCTATCGTTTTATAAAGTTCGCTCTGGAAACTGGATCAGCCTATATATGAATTAACCGGTTAATGATCTTTTAGCCAATTGTTCAGTTGTCCTGTATGATTTTGATGAAATCTGGCATCAGTCAATTCATCTTACCTTGATCAGTAATGATTTTTCCACGTTGGTCAGGATGATGCGGGCTTCAGCAGAAGCAGTTTTCACACTAGAAGTGAACAGGGCTCTGACGTACTTTTCCGGAGAATATTCGCCCTCCAAATCCAAAGACACCTTCTTCTTGTTCTGCTTGTCGATGGTTTCAAAGACCAGATCGGCGTGAGCTGGTTTGATGCTGTGCCTTAAACGGTATTCGGACACGTCGTCATTTTCAATGGTCACCGCCACTTTGGCGTCGCCAGCCAATGGGAATGGAAGAACTGGGATTTGTTGTCCACCTACATTGGGGCCGTTGATTTCTGCACAGAACGTCAGTCCAATGAATGAACTGAGTTGGTCCAAGCAGATCGAGAAGTCCTTGACTTGAGTGAATTTGAGTGGGAGGTTTACTGCTTTGCCTGCTTGTTCTCTGGAGGCAAACACGATTTCATGATTGACTGAGATCAGTTTTTGTTCTTGGACGGGCAGGCCTAATTTCAGATCGAAGCCTGTGGCTTTGTCCCATGTGGCTTTCAAGTCTCCACCAGTGGACGAGTAGAGGGTAGAAACCACCTTCAGACCGTTTTCTACGACAAGGGCGTCCAGGGTGATGGTTCCGGCTACTTCCACATTAGCACTAGGAATCAGTTTGATTCTCAGTTCCCCTTTCTCTGGATTGTTGGTCAGTTTGCGAACATCCACGTTTCCTTCAGCTTTAACTTGAACGGTGGCGGAACCATCGATGGCCAAACGTAAGGGAAAACCAAGCGATGTTGGGTAATCTAGCTCAGCATTTAGGAAGTTCAAGTTGCGACGGAAAGTTTCCTGCGAGCGAAAATCCATCTGTAGTAGTACAGAGATGGGCGTCATTCAATAAGTACTCACCTCGAAGCGTTGAAGCCTATCCAATCCCTTGGCGAGTTGGGCAATGATACTGTCGATGATTGCTTCAGGCTTCACCTTGGCTTCTTGGTTCACATTGAGGAAGAATATTTCAGAGCCAAAGGCCTTGAGGCTCACGTCCAAATCGAGGTCCTTGTTCAGTTCACTGGTCTTGATTTGTACCTGTTTAGCAATGTTTTCGATTTCGGCTTTGCTGACGTCGCGTCTGCTTCTCTGCAAAGTGGCTTTCAGCTTCCCTTCGACATAATCTGCCAGCTTGTGGTAGCTGGTTTTGCCCTCCTTTAAGAGATCCGGCAAAACCGTCTTTCTCAACACCCCTTTGGGGCCCAAGTAGTGCTCAACCAGACGGTCGAGGTTTTCTTGGCGTGTTTCGATTTCCAAGAAGTTCAAGCTGTGCCCGAATACTTCAGCCGTGAGGTTCAGGTTGGTCGATCTGGGCAACCAGGAGTTTTGGGAGTAAATTACATTAGCCTCGGAGGAAGCAGCTAGGCCCAAAGTGTCCACGGCGTAGGAGAACTCTCCGTTGAAGGAGTATTTGCGGGGATCAATGGGGAAGTTTTTAGTCGGTCGGAATCCCAGGAATTTCTTGGCCAAGTCTTTATCGGGATTCGCTGAAGCTCTAAGGGCGTGAATGTAGGAGGTGATGAATCCGCCCACTTGGATGCTGGGCTCTTTGTTCAAAACGTTCTGCACGGCAGTTCCTGGAAATTGGTTTATTAGGATTTTTTCCTTGTGATTGCTGCCAGTTCCTACCGATTTTGGCAGTGGGGCATTGAGCCACCACTAGGAAAGCTCGGATCCTCACTTCAGAGTCCTGTTGGATGTCTTGGAGGATCTGTAGGGCGCTGTTTCTCAACTTGTCCTTGCATGCGTCGGCCAAGTAGGTGTCTAATGCAGCCACTCTCAATCTGGAATGAGATGGACGAATTTGTATATTTGGTTTCTGAGCATTTTAAATTTCATTTGCAAGCTAATGGAGACAAATCAGCTTTGGAAAACAAATTATCGTTTTACCCTACTTTGCGACTTATTAACTTTTTTGTTTAGAATACTCCCAACATTCAATTAATTGAAGTTGGTTAAGCACAATTATTTACCTGCTGGGGAGATTTTTGTTTTGGGCAAGAGCTGTGACTTTAGGAACAACGATGTCGCTCAAATCGCGCAAATTGGCTAGAGCTTTCAGAGCATAAACAGCATCATTTTCCTGTTCTCTATTGGTGAATTTGCCGCCAACTTTGGCCAACAGTTTGTTCGTTAGAGCTTTGATCTCAGCATTGTTGTCGCAGTTGTGCTGGGCGCAGAAGCGACCGGCCAAGTTTCCAATTCCCAAGTACGCTTCTCTGGGCAGTTTTGGTGTGTCCAAAAGATGCTAAAACCCATTTATTAATGTCAGGCAGATGTAAAATTGATGAGGAAAGTATGGGGAAGCTGTGGGCTTACCGTAACAGCTTTCACAGATCCTTCAGTTGCGTGGCGCACAACGTTTAAGCTGAGCAGGGCCAATTTGCTGTCCAGTTCGTCCAGTTGCTTGCTGTTGAGCAGCTGCAGAATTGCCTCAATAGTTTCACCATTTCCTGCTCTAAGTAAAGCGTCCAAGTACAAGCGTTTGGCTGCATTTTTGTCACCAACACCTGCAAAAGAGCGTCGGTTAGTCCATTTCATTAACCGTCTGTTTGAGAACTTGTTTCCAGTAATTATTTGCATTCAATCGAGCCTTAGACTCTGGAGGAATTGAACGATCGAAAAGATCACAATTGTAATATTTTGCATCACTTTTGTAATTATAATTTTTTCTGTGTTTTTTCGTTTGGGTCATCGAAACAATTTCTTTGCGCTTACCGACTCCGCTTCTGACTTGATTGTAAACAGCTAACAAGTCACTTGCACTGCTGACTTTAACGATTTTCAATAAGTTGATGAATTCCTTGGCCGTTTCTTCGCCTACCACAACATCAATGGTCTTGGCAACATCCTTCACTGCTTCCAAGATGGTTTGAACGTTGCTGGTCGGCGCGGTAACCGGATGGGGATTTTCAAAGATGATGGACCTGGAAAGGTTGCAAATGCAGAACTGTTTCTCCATATTCCAATGTTTACAAACCTCGGTTTGGATGCAGGAGATTGAGCAGGCGTTTTGCTAGTGCCACTGTATTGCAGTTTGCTGACGATTTGTGCTTTGGCGCCGTTCTTTCCAACGGAGAATGGAACGAACAAGTAGTCTTCAGTAACAGTGGCTTGGTCCAAGATGCCATTCTTCACCTTCAGATTGGCGCTGTAGTCGCCGTTTAGAATGGGGCTGGATTTGATTTCACTGTTCAGGTTGAGGGCGGTGGATAGGAAGTCTTGTTGAATGTGTTCTCTAAAAAATGGTGAACACCCGTTTGTTGTTATGTTTGCGTTTTTTCTTCCAACTTTTATGCTTAGTTGACTGTTCTTCTTCGGGGTTCAATCAACTGTTCATTGAGACTATCAAGGATTGGAGGATTAGAACCAGGGTTTTTAAAGCCAGAAATTTACGGTTATCGACACATTTCAGGTCAACACTCTGAGGGTTGGGAAACATCAGGATCGAGTCCGATTTGAGACCAAATTTTCACAGGTTCATTCAGAGTGGAATGTATTTTCTGGATTGTC